GGGAGGGGGAGTTGAGAAAAATCTTAGCATATTAAAGGCACTGCTATAAAGAAAACAGTTTATTTAAAATGTTGCCCAAGTTTACTGATGCACAGCCAACTTTGGACAATTTGTTAGATGCCGCTGTAGATGATCCTGAAGGAAAGAGTAATCAACATGGCACTGGGCTCGAGCATCAGTTGACGGTTTCTCCCAAAGGATGAGGAAGCAGGTTCGAATCATCTTCTTTGAGCAGATCCTCTGACATCAGCTGGGCCCTCCTCATGCTGTCCAAGTTCAACTGTCGATACTTTCTTTTAAAAAAGCCACACTAAAACAAAGGGAGGGGAAGCCCAATTGCAGGCCCAAGATATCATCTGTTTTAGAAAACTGTTTCTCCTCATATTGTTTTCACTTCCTGAAACATCTTTCTGTGACTCTCTCCTCGATAACCCAACCCCTCAAGACCTTTCCTGAGTGCTCTTTCCACAAGCCTTTCCTGATGCTCATTCTCCAACCCCCTCCTCTGAATCCCCAGAGCACTTTAACCTTTTTAACTTAAAGAACTCCGCATGGAGAGAAAAGCAAGACCTGAGGGTGGGAAGGGGCACAGGATAGAGTGGAAGGCCTTGAATAACAGTAAAAAGAGCTTGAATGTTAAGGCAGAGGAAAGCCAAGGGAAGCATTTAAAGGGGAATGCCAATCAATTCTGTTTGAGAAAGATCTTTCTGTACTTCCATACTTCAACTAGATTTTTATCTTTTACAGACATAAACTGTTATACTCATTTGCCTAAACAAGGGAGATAGGGGTTGAAGGAGGAGTCAAAGTAGCTCCTCTGGCCAGGGAAGCTGCTCTGAGTAAAGGGCTGGCTGTATTTGGAAGCGCTGTGCCTGACTCCAACCAAAAAAAAAAAAAACCCAAACTCACTGCCAAGTGGATTCCACTCACAGTGACTTCTCCTTGGGTTTCTGAGGCCATATCTCTACAGAAGTAGATTGCCCAGTCTTCCTTCCAAGAAGCAGATGGTGGGTTTGAACCACCAGCCTTCTGGTTAGCAGTCAAAATGCCTTAGGCACTTTGCCACCAGAGCTCCCAACACCAGGGCCCAGCTTAGTCCTCTGTCTGGCTTTATGAACTTGGGTAGAACTGACCTTGAATAGGATGACTATAATCACAATCAAGACCAGAAGGCCACCAACACTGCTTCCAATGATGACAGGCAAAAAATAGTACTTCTCATCTTTCAGAAGGGTGACAGTGATCTAAAACAATAAAACAACACAACAAATCATCCAGTAAATCAGGTGAAACAAATGGGAAGAAATTCCACATGGTACTTAAAGGAGCAAAATGTGAAGATTTGGCAACATTCTGTGTATTGATCAAGACTGATGACAGTAAAAACGTTAAAAGTTTCCTGATACAGCATCTAAAATTCCCTAATGATCAAAATACTTTATAAGAAACTATTTGGGTCTCTTACCTAGAAGAGCTAAGTCTGTCAGGAGATTGTGATCTTGTGTTAAAGATTCCCTGACAGAC